TAAATGCCCACAAATACTTCATGATTTTGAAATTCCATGCAACTGTTTGCCGAACACGACTTATCCATTTATTGAACTCTTTCTGCACACTTGAAAGACCATGTCCTTTGAGCCCAGACAGCAAGAATGTCGAAATACCATAAGCAGGATCACCACAAATGAACTTGTTCAGAAATAAATCAGAATGCAAAGCAAAAAATCCAACAATGCATGGTGGCGAAGCATCGTCGTGTCGTGCTTTCTCCCTTCCACTGGACCGAAGAAGTGAATGCAGATGCCTTAGGGTGCTGTAATCCCTTGGTAATTCAAGCAATGAACGCGCTTGTGGCCTCTGTAAACTTGCTGTTGGAGGTTGTCGCCATTGCCAGTGGATGATATTCGACTGACAGCCAGCTTGGTACCGTCAATAACGCCGTATACCACAGGGACAGGGGAGTCTTTTTGTTTGATGGTGCCGCAGTATCGGTCCATGTTGCGACGCAGAAGACATAGATTGAAGAAAAGCAAGTTGTGCCAGCGGTCGTAGATGTCTTGTATCACGAACACAAATATCTCGCACAGAGCAGACTGAGATCGCCCAAATGTCTTTGTCATGGAATAGAGACGAGTTGGAAATGCTAGGCGCGACAGCATGATGCACATGGCTTCATCTCGACACACACGTTCCTTGACTCAGTTATGATAACAGCGGCAAGTCCGAGGAGGAGTCCGAGCTTTTGAATTCCATGAACGTCAAATCGAAACTCCACGATGGCATTTGGGTCAGCGTATGCTGTCAAGATGGAACGAACGTCAGGTATCAGCGGGCGTTCAATGAACGAGCAAGCAAGAAGTGCAGAAACAAGTCGTCGTTGTTTTCGAGTCTTGGCAGAAATGTGCAGGGCAAGAACATCATCGAACGAGAGTACCATCGTCAATGCAAGTTCAATTGTGGAACACTTTATCCGGAGAGTGAAGTGAATGGTGCAAAATGCAAGTTTCATTCAGTCTTTTCAGAGTCACTAAAATCGTAATTTTTCGCAGTGCCCTGAAGAGACAGTGAGTGGAAATTTTGCAAAATCTCTCTAATTGAAATGAGCATCAGGTCGGACGCGACAAGGGCATACGACGCCTGTCGCGTTAGCTCCGGCCACTGTGGCAGGTTCTTGTCGCGAGCAATCGTTTCATACATGTCGTGGGAGACGAAGCCGGCGACGGCCCGTCCGACAAGCACCGACAGGAGCACTGGAATCATGTACGTAAACTGCTGGGTCAGTTCAAGCACAATCATGGCAATGCTAAACGTGCCCGTGACACCAGCCGTGAACGACGTGGCACCGACAATGGCAAATCCCGCAGGCACAATCACCCAAGAGTCAGGGGCGACGCCCGGGAGAGCTTCGCCAAAGAGTCGGCCGAGCCAACGACGCACTGCGCTCAGCTGTGGCCGTGCAATGTAAACCTTGTGGCGAAACATGACCAGGACAAGTCATTATCTTCACAGATGGGACGACCGCTACTTTCGTCGGCGGGATGCGGTGTGGGCGTCGTTTGGCTGTGACAAGATGCAACAGTTCAGGATCGACACTCACGTGTTCTCCTTTTGAGAGGTACGGGGATGACCTTCGGGGAAAGACTGTAAGTTCGTTTGTGGTTTGGCACTAAACTCCAGTAGAGTTTGCCATTTTATGCGGGACCCCGTCAACGGGATCGTCAGAAAAACCGACATCAACCGCCTGCGCAAGCAACGCCAAGTCAAGGTCAAGAAGAACGCGCGACTGGAGCAAGTCTTCGTCCGCGTCAAGCCTGAATCGAAACTAGACAAAGTTCGCCAGGACCTTGCCAACGCTATCAACCGCATCAAACGAATCAATCGCCACTTCGACGACGTTCTTATCAAGGAGTTCGCGTCCACAGACCGACGGCTAATTCCCACAACCCGTTCTTTGCTGCAAACGCTCAACATGCACCTTCACAATTGCTCCAATCTCGTCGACAATATCCTCTTAAAGGAAGTCAAATTCTACCTTGAAGAGAAGAACCTGCCACTTATCAAATCTCGTGGCTACAAGTAAACTCGGTTAATCACTCAAACTTTTTTCTCTCGTTTATTGTATGGAATCATGGAAGTAAAAAAACCCGTCCATGTGTTCACCGGAAAGTCATACAACGAATGGGAATGCCGTCTCCTCGCGTATCTCGAAATCAAAGAAGTAGCTGAGGTTGTCGAAGGCACCATGCCTCCAACTCATGCCGACTATTACGCCAAGAATCGCCTTGCCCGCGTGATTATCCTCTCTGCCCTTGACGATGCCCAAGTCCGCATGGTATTCAAAGTCCGTGACGCTCCAGCGATGTTATCACGACTTCGTAAACGCTACGGCAACAAGTCGTATATGGGCGAAGCGTACCATTTCCAAGCCCTGTTAAACCTCCGCATCGGTCAGAACGAATCTGCTCGCAGGCAGGTACTGCGACAGATTCAATATGCATGTTGAAGATGTCATCGAAGCTGGTGTGTCCATCGATCCACGCTTCCAAGTTCACATCTTCAACAGCCTTGATGAGCGCTTTCAGGACTTTTTCACCTTCCAAAACAATGTTTTCCAAAATGGCGCCAAGATCGACGACAACATCTTGGACTTTCTGTTCACTGCTCTCATTCAGCGCGACATGAGGACGTTCTCTCAGACTCCTGATGGCTCCACTTTCAATACTTCAAGGCGGCATCCCAACAACCACCAACAAAACCGCAACAAGGACAATGGCCCAGTAACTTGTGCTTACTGTGGCACTTACTGTGGCACTCTGTGTGGGTTTCGAACCACACAGAGATTGTCTGTCGCAAGAATAAAGCTGCATTGCGTAACAATCAGAATGGCAACAAACCGAATCCTCGGAATACCGGCAATAACGCGCCGGATGCCAATCAACAACCGGGCAATCCCAAAACTCAACAAGAAGAACCTGGGAACAACCCTCGTCGTCCCTCCAAGCCGAACAACCAGCAAGTTAGTATGATGGCTCTCCCCACCCACGTCACACATTCGACAAGCAGTCGGATCTCGTATCTTCATGCATTCTCGACTCTGGAGCTACAGACCACTACTGCAACAACCGCGCCTGGTTTCAGGACCTCCGCCCCTCCTCAGGCATGATCCGAGCTGCCAACGGAGGCGATATGAGCG